CTTCATCTCTTTTCCTTTACTGTCATTTCCCCACTACTATTCAGTTAAATCTTCTCGTTCTCTTTTCATTCTCTGTAACCTAGCAACATTAATTTAATTTTAAAGAAGGAATGAATAAAAACAGAATTTGTGTTCAAAGACAAAGAAGATTCTAGAAGACCTCACAGATTGAAAAAACGGTAAACTGAAGAAGCATTCGGAGGAAAATACAAAATAAATAATAGGAGAACTAAAAGGCGAATCAGTTAAATTCCTTGAAGACATATTGAAAAGAATGCCTTTCATCGTCAATGAATTGATCGATTTGTTTTTAAGGCTTATCAAGCTCCTGCAGATTATTTAAAGCCAGAAAATATTTTTAATATCGTAAGAATTTTATTTTGGAATAATAATCTTTTACTTATACAATTTTTTAACCCATAGCTGGAGGGAGAAGAGATATACCACGGGTTTATGCGTAAGGGTTTTACTAAGGGGTTACGCATTAGTGAATATAACGAAACCTATTGAAATTGAACCTGGTTCTCCAATTTCCAAATGGGAGCCGTTATCCATTCCACAGATGGACATTTAAACATACAACACCTGATATTCCCAAGTTCTCACCCACCTAGCCGCGACGTTGCTTAACTTCGATGATCGTACGAGAAGCGGTGTTTCAACGGGATATGGCATACCCCTGAACAAAGAAAGTGAATAGTGTATCAAGATATGTTACAAATACGGCGCATCCAATAATATTTTTGTTGATGTTGTTGTTGTACTAGTACGATAGAACAGCTCGTCAAAAGTGTGACGATGGGGCACAAATATACGAAGCACAATACATCCATCGTGACATCCAGGCTGACAGGTGCCTGTCAGGCATGTGCATCATATCCAAATATGTGTAATATGATGACATATTTTGATAAAAGTAGGATATAAACTTAGATGTGAAGAGCTCAGTTAGAAATACTTTCAGGTCGAGTAACCGATTCTTTTCAGAGATCTGTGGTCGAAGATCTTCACCAGTATTTTAAATGTGTGTCGCGTTAAACCCTCATAATTTTCGAAACCTCTATTAGGGGACGCTCTCCGGACTATAAATAATCGGCGATATTATTTCTCCTTCCCTTATTACTTTTCCGCTTATTTGTCAACATGTAACCTCTAGCGGAGAACAAGCTTTCCTTTGCGAAACCCCATGAATAATACACAAACTCACGTACATAAGCACATTCACTCACGACACATACTTTGGACCGAAAACGATTTTCACATTAATTTGTTACACACATCGCCTTTGTCGCTTGTATATCTTTGTTGTTAATACATTATCATTTGTTTGTGCATATATATTGGTTCTTGTCATTTCTTTTCATTTTTTCATGCGGATACCCCCCCACCCCGACTCTACCATTTTGTTGTGGGTATTTCAGGAGACACGTCTACATTTCTCAACTCAAACACCGACGTTACTAACGCTCGCAACAAGTTGAGAAACGCGTACACCGGCCCGCAACAAATGATACCCAAATTGTTTTGTCTGCCTCATCCTTCAGAGTTAGAAACAAAACACTCTCTGGACACTCGGCTAAGAGGCTTCCTCACTAACCCCCTCACAAACCGGAACAGGAAGGCACAGTGCTTCAGCCCTCAGATGCTCAACTGATTAAGGTCAGTGAACTGGTAAGCAAATTTGAAGTACTGAACGGATATTTACAGTAGCCTGACTTAATTCATCAAGACAAAACATGTTCATGATAACTTCCAATCGATTAAAATCTACCTATACCTGGATCAAAAGTATTTTCGTTTTTAACCAACTTTTGCTTCACTGTCTACATCTAAAAAAATAAGGCAATCTCCACTGTACTATGAATATTGTCATTACATATTAGGGTGTATCAAAAGTATTTTCGTTTATTTCAAAATTATTTCATGTACGCATTTAAAGACCGATACGAATATATAATCGTTATTACATAAGTCCTATCAGTATCCAAATTCTTCAGCTGTACCTTTTTATTTAAATTTCATAATGGCGGTTAAAATTTTATGAAGCGATATTTAAACTGTGCTGAGATTGTCGATGAAATTTTTCACTGAATTAAGAAAGCGGCTGGAAATAATTTTTTTGTGACGTACTGCAGCCGTTAATAATTAAGTATAACTCAAGACTTCAATGTTAAGATAAAACAGTAATTAATTAAAACCGCAAATAAATATTTAACAAGAACAAAGAAGTAAAAGTCAACCAAAGATAATAGTGGTGTCAGGTTACTGACTGCAGTGATTATTGAGTGACCATTGAGTGTAACTATCCAGTCGAATTAGTGTGAATTATTGTGCTTCAATGATTTTGATTTAGGATTTACCGGATGGTTAAGCCGAGCCGCGCTACTAAAAAGTAAATCCTAAATCAAAATCATTGAGGCACAATAATTCACACTAATTCGACTGGATAGTTCCATTCAATGGTCACTCAATAATCACTGCAGTCAGTAGCCTGACACCACTATTTATACACCTGGCGGA